ATGACAGACTCTGAAGATTCCCCCATGGAAGGCATGACAGACTCTGAAGATTCCCCCAATGGAAGGCCTCACCCTCCCTGGGGAGCAGAAAGGGGGTAGGTGGGAAACATGGGAGGAGAGGAGGGAAAGGGAACTGGGATTGACACGTAAAACAAGCTTGTTTGAACTTAAATAAAAGAAATTTGTGTTTTGTACATTTGTATTTTTAAAGTTGACATTTTCCCATGTTCTTGTAGTCTCTAATCTATTTTTGTTCTAATCTTTATTGTTTCCATCTTTCTTTCTAACCTTGGTCTTACTTGGTTTATTTGTAGGCCTTTGAGGTATAAACTAGGTTACATACTGACATTGTTATTTTATTATTTTAAGCATTTATAGCTATGTTTTGGAGACATCGTATGTATTTTTGTATTTTGTTTCCATTTTTGTCTTAATTATTTTAATTTCTCACGCTGGAGAGATAGCTAAATGGTAAGAGGACTAGCTGTTCATGAAGAAGGCTCAGCTTTGACCCCAACACCCACAGGGAGGCTTTCTATTCCTACAGTTCCAGGGGATCCAATTCCCTCTCCTGGCCTCCTCAGGTACCAGGCATGCACAGACATACATGCAAACAAAAATACCATATATGTAAAATAAATAAAATTTAAATTTCTTCTTCAAGTTCTTTATTGTTCAATCATGTTTAATTATCCACGTATTTGTGAATTTTCCTCTCCTATTCAGTTATCACCTTATACCATTTTTTGAGAAAACATACTTGATATGATTGCAGTGTTCTTGAATTTGAGACTTTTTATGGGGTAATATATTGGAGTATGTTCTGGGTATATTTAGAAGAATGAACGATCTTCGATCATTGGTTGAAATGTCATGAATATCTTTGGTAGGACTATTTTGTCTATAATGATGTTATTATTAGCTATCTATTGATTTTTAAAAAAGATTTATTATTTTATTTATGTATAGGGATGTGTGTGTGTGTGTGTGTGTGTGTGTGTGTGTGTGTGTATAGGGTGTGAGTATTCGTGTATGAGTTCAGGTACCACCAGAGTTGTCGGATCCCTGGAAGCTAGAATTACAGAAGATTGACAGCTACATGGCATGGGTGCTAGGAATGGAACTCAGGTCCTCTGAAAGAGCAGCAAGTCCTCTTAATTTCTGAGTCAACTCTCCAGCCCAAGATTTATTGATTTTTAAAATCTATGTTTTCTTTCTACCTTTGACAGAAGAGTGTAGAAGTTCCTTTCTATTATACTGCTGTTGATTTCTCATTTCAGTTTGTTTTTATATATTTAGATTTCCTATGTTAGATACATAAATATTTACAGCTGCTATAGGTTTCAGTGGATAGATTTATTTGTTATATAATAATAATACTCACTTTGTGTTACCCTATTTTCCTTTGGTTACCAATAGCATCCCTCACTTGAAACCTATTTGTGTCCTTTGAAGTCTTTTATACAATCGAATGGCTGTCTTAATTTTTATCCATTCAGCCACTATTTCTCAACTGATACATAAAACATAAACATTCTACATATTAATGGGGTACCACTTACATCTTGAGACATGTGTAGTTGTATAATGTATCAATGAGGTTAAATATTATATATCTTCTCAAATATTTATTATTTCTTCATAAGTGAAAATTTTCAAAAGTTTGCTATTTGAAGTATTTAACATATCACTATTATCAATAGTACCCCACTGCACAATAGTATTTTAGAAATTCTTGTTCCTAACTATAACTTTTTATTGAATGATGTAAAGGGCTCTGCCCACCAAGGGTGGTGCCACCCTATAATGACAAATCTTTCTGCTAAGCCAGCCGAGCTCCGCCACCACATGGGCGCCCTAAATAACACACAGAGTCTTATATTAATTATAATGCTGCTGACCAATGACTAGGATTTCTTATCTGCTATCTCTGTCTTAATACCAACCATAATTATTAATCTGTATATTTTATAAAGACATATCTGATCGAGGACACCTGTGGCATATGTCCTCTCTTGTTGGGCTCACATGGCAGTTCCAGAGATGAGAGGAGGAAGAAGAGCACGATTTCCTGCTTGTTCCTGCCTATATTCTGAGTCTGCCTGCTATGTCACTTCCTGCCTGGATCACAAGACTTCTCTTTACTACATTTTCCAGAATTCTCCTCGACTTCTAGTACCACCTAACTTGCTTCCCTATTGGCCAACAGTACTTCATTTATCAACCAATAAGGCAAACATATACACAGAAGCACCTCCCTCATCACCACCCCCAGGCTAATGGTCTTGAGCTGTATAAGAAATCAAGACAGGAGTATAGAAGCTAGAAAGTAGCATTTCTCCCTTGCCTCTGCTTCAGTTCCTGCCTTGGTTTCCCTTGTTGGTAGATTGTAACATATAAATCAAAATAAGCACTTTCTTCCCCATTTGTTTTTGGTGATGGATTCAAACATAGCCACAGAGAAGTGAACTAGGACAAAGAAGCAATTCTTAGATTCTTTGATTAGGTGGGACTATTGGCCATACTCTATATTTTGGATAAGGAGGTTTCTGGCCAAGATTACTTGAACATGACAGGCCTAACCTGAAGTTAGATAAAGCTGAGAACTAAAATCTAAAATCAGGCAGTGCTACAGACTTGGCTCCATCATTGCATGGGTTTTCAGACTTTGATCTGCAATTAACTGGGGTCACTGACTAAACACTTGCTTGGGCATGGGTAAAGTTCATTAATTACATGAGCTTATAGGATGGGTTTGATGACAAGACTGGACTTTAAACTGGGTTATCTGAATAGGCAGTGATGTACATTGGGTTATCACAGTTGGATGAGTTTGCTGGTCTGGTTCCCTGGTTGGATGAGGCCAAAGGTTACACTCTACAGCTGGTAGGAGCCACTGGTTTGGCTATATGATGGTGCAGGGTTACAGTTCATTATCTATGATCAGCTGGGGCTATGTTTCCTAGGCTAGTTGTGTCTCTGGCTCAACTATCTACTCCTGCAGGGACTGGACTCTGAGGCTGGAGAGCACCTTGGATTGATTCCTTTTCAAACAAAGGCATATAATAGGCTTTTTAACTTGGCAAAGACACTGGAGAGGGACTCAAGCTAGGCAAAACTGTCAACTGTGCTTCCTAGACTATTGGAATGACTGATTCATCCCCTTGGTGAAGTAGAGCTATTGGCTAGGCTATCCACCAGCAGGAAAGTGGTGCCACTACCCAGCTCTGTGAGCTCATTGCTGTGAGTCCTCTTTGTTTCTAGCTGTGCCCAGTAACTTAACTCTACAGGATCCCCCAGTGCCCTCCAATAGGCAATATATCCTTTTGTGTTTGCTTCCTTTCACCCAGCATGTTTTTGAAATTACATGTTGTTGGCTGGGTCAGGATTTTGTTTCTTTTTATTCCTAAAGGTAAGGCTGGATGTTATCCAATGTGGATGTGAGAAAATATGTTTATTCACTCACTAATTAATTAATGTCT